AATAGTCAGTCATCATCATTATCAGTATCGTTGTCATTATCATCATCTTCACAGCATCACCAACACCATCAGCACCAGCAACAGCATCTTCTTCTGAATCATCATCATCGGCATTATTCACCATCCTCATCATCATCACAACCACCACCATCAGCAGCAGCGCACCACCACCATCTTCACCATCCTCATCATCAGCATCATCATCTCCATCATCAGCATCGTCATCACCAACGTCATCATCATCATCAGTGGCAGCATCGCCGTCATCATAATGATCAGCATGAACACTTGCAACACCATCATCCTGATCATTGTCATCATCATCACTAGCAGCATCATCATCATCATCATCATCATCATCATCATCATCATCATCATCATCATCATCATAATCGTCATGATCGTTATCATCATCATCGTCATCATCAGCAGCAGCATTATCATCATCAGAACCACCATCACCACGACCATCACCACCACCTTCACGATCATCATCACTATCACCAACAGCATCACCATCATCATCATCATCATCATCATCATCGTCATCATCATCATCATCATTATCAGCAGCCCCACCATCACCAGCATAATAATAATAATAATCATCATCATTGTCAGAATCATCATCATTGCCACCATCATTAGCATCGTCACCGTCGTCGCCGTCATCATCAGCAGCCGAATCATCAACATGATCAGCAGCCGCATCGTTATCACCAGCATCACAGTCACCAGCATCATCGTCATTATCAGCAGCATTACCATAATCATCATCATCATCATCATCATCATCATCAGCAGCATCAGCATCAGCATCAGCATCATCATCAGCATCATCATCCTTCTCCTCCTCCACATCCTGCTCCTCTTCCTCGCTCCCTCCCTCTTCCGCCGCCGCCGCTGGCTCGTCATTCTCCTCCTCCTCCTCCAACTCCTCCTCCTCCTCCTCGTCATCCTCCTCCTCCTGTCATCCTCCTCCTCGTCATCCTCCTACTCCGCATGCTGATCATCATCATCATCTCCACTACCACCATCACCATCACCATCACCAGCATCATCAGCACCATCATCATCATCATCATCATCAGCATCAGCATCATCATCATCATCATCATCATCATAATCATCATCATCATCAGCAGCACAATCATCAGCATCATCATCAGCACCATCATCAGCATCATCATCAGCATCATTAGAGCCAGCAGCATCGCCACCATCACCACCATAATCAGCATCATCATCAGCAGCAGCCTCAGAGTCAGCATTATCATGACTAGCATCATCATCAG